TTTTTTTTCTAGAAATCACTCACCTAAAGACTTTATTTTTAACTGTGCCCTCAAACTTAGCATAATAATGATTTCTAAAACCTCTTAAAAAGTATGGAGCAACATTCTCTTCCACTCTCAGCAAAAGATTTAGTTAGCTCAAAATACTTAATACAGCAATTTAAGGAGCGTGTAAAGTGCTTTTCCTGGTTCCAATAAACACATAAGTTTATGTTGTGCAAAAAATATGCTGTGCAGCAAGTGTCAAGTGTTCTGTAAGTTAGATGCAATTGAGGAAGTAGTTCCTGGAAATACGTAACACCTAAAATATAAAATTATCCACTTTGAAACTACAAAGCTGTATCTTAGGATTTTGTATAAACATTCCCCAAAAGATCATTCACAGAGCAGGCCCACCTAGTCAGTGATCTGAAGTTTAGATGTATCATCAGAACTTGGTGGCTCTCACCTCCCAGCTCAGCCCAATCCCTTGGTTGCCTGTCTGAGATCAGATGTGTTCCTGCTTTGTAAAATATCAGCTTGATGATTTTAGGTTTCTGAAGGCTCCATCTAGACCCTGGAACTCTGCCCCATGCTGTGCTCTCGGCTCTTCTGCCTCTGCACCTACAGCTGGTGATCATTGCCCTCTGGCTGGTCAGTGGTGGTCTCCAGGGCATGCAGACTATGGCCTCTTCATAAGCTGGGAGGCTTATGGATGGCAGGAGGGGATGGAAAAGTGGGGTGTGGGTGTGGGAGGCAGGACGAGGAGGAAGCCTGGCCCACGTTTCTAAGTGTCTGACTAGGTAGCTATTGATACATCTGGTGTGTCCCCTCCACAAGTAAACATCTATTTTCATGAATGAGTGACTATAAAGAATTCTCTAGTGCTATTTTATTAAATTTTATGCTTTTTAAGTGAACATATTGGCATCTGGTAAGGGCATTTCTATGGGGTGCAAAGCTAAAGTATTCAGTCATTCAGCAAACATTTTTAGAGAGTGTCCACTATGCTGGGCATTGCACAGCCACTGGTAACACAGTGATAAAAACAGAAATGGCCCTGCCCTCCTCAAATCTTCATTGACGAGATGGCCCGAATCACTGTCTTCCGGTGATTAGAGAGGGATGTAAGCATGATGCCCAAAGGAAAGCAGGACTCACAGGTTCCTCTGATGGTCACTCAGATACCAACTGGCCACACCTGGCACATGGGAGGCACAGAAGGTTATTTATGGAAAATGCTATACTTGGGGTGGCAGTAGATGAGAACTTCCTTTCTTGTAGGTTCTAACATTCACTTATTCTGTGGCACAGATTAGAGAAGGATCTGTGTGCTTTTTTGTTTTTTATTTATTTTAATTTATTATTATTATTTTAATTTATTATTATTCTTTTTTTGAGACAGAGTCTTGCTCTGTCACCCAGGCTGGAGTGCAGTGGCATGATCTCAGCTCACTTCAACCTCCACCTCCCGGGTTCAAGCGATTCTGCTGCCTCAGCCTCCCCAGTAGCTGGAATTATAGGTGTGCGCCACCACACCTGGCTACTTTTTGTGTTTTTAGTAGAGATGGGGTTTCGCCACGTTGGTCAGGCAGTCTTGAACTCCTGACCTCAGGTGATCCACCTGACTTGGCCTCCCAAAGTGCTGGGATGACAGGCCTGAGCCACCACCCCCTGCCTGGATCTGTGTGCTTTTGACCACAAAGACAACACCAGGGTTTGGCTATGAAGGATCCTGACTCGGGTGTTCATTCACACCAGGGCCCTGCGTCTTTGCATGGAGAAGGGCATCATGCATCTTTGGAAAGAAGCTGGGTGGGGAATACTCAAATTATATGGATGCTTTGGTCTTTATGCTTAAAAATGTATGGAGTAGGCAATTAAATTTTCTCTCTGGATTTTAATTTCCATGTATTAATCCCTACAATATTTTTTTTTCCATCATGAAGAAATTGTTCTATGCAAGAATAAATACCAGACTAGGAAGGTGACATGTGCTTAGTAATGTCCTCTTTTTGCTGATAAGAAATGTGTTTGGAACCATTACACAAAGCTGTGATCATTTTTCTTTCTTTTTTGCAGATTTCTTTCAACCCTCAAGGGAACCGTCTTCTAACTGGCAGCTCTGACAAAACGGCTAGAATCTGGGATGCTCAGACTGGCCAGTGCCTCCAAGTTCTTGAGGGGCACACTGATGAAATCTTTTCATGTACTTTCAACTATAAAGGCAACATAGTCATTACAGGTATGGAAGACATCAACACCATAGACTCATTTTTTCTTGATTGGCTGTTAGAGGTTCCAAGCTGAATACTCACAGGAGTTCATCCCCATTCCCTACCTCTTTTCTATAGTCACTAGCTCATCTTGGCCTGCCCTCATATTTTCATTATTTAATTTTAGTTTTATGAGGACCTGCAAGAGTGAGCTCTGCCATTGACTATAGTAAGGCTTTGTGAACTTTGAATTTTATTTGCTCTAGATAAGGTAATAATTTATCTAGATTTAGTAACCTTACTGGTTACTAAATTTCCCCAGTTGTTGTATATCAATTGAATGATTGATAGTTAGTCAGCCAGGCGCATTGGCTCATGCCAGCAATGTCAGTGCTTTGAGAGGCTGAGGCAGAAAGAATGCTTGAGGCCAGCCTGGGCAACATAGTGAGACCCTGTCTCTACAAAAAATAGAGCATTAGCTGGGCATGGTGGCATGCACCTGTAGTCCCAGCTGCTCAGGAGGCTGAGGCTGGAGGAGCACTTGAGCCAAGGAGTTGGAGGCTTCGATGAGCTATGATCGTGCCACTGTACTCCAGTCTGGGTGACAGAGTAAGACCCTGTCTCAAGAAAAAAATTCAGTTTATGGCAGTAAGTGTTAGTAACCAAAAGAAGTCAGGATCAAAATTCTCCCTAGCTGGCTTTACAGCCCATTAGAGATTTATTCTTTGAGCAGAGTTGTTTTCTCCCCTGCTAAAGCACTAATGTTTGGGGGGAAAAGAACATGTATTAACAGTTTTTCAACCATTAACAGTTTATGGTGAATTAATAATATTAGCAACTTTTCATAAGAAAAGGGTAGCTTAGATTGTGGAAGGGGCAGAAAAATGACAAGGTGATGGTATCATGTTAGTGCAGTGGCTCGAGGGGAGGCCTTGGCAGGGAACGGGTGCCACAGTGGTGTGGAGTAGGGTGCCCTAAGTGAGCACGGAAGACCGGATCTGCCTAAGTACCAGTGATTCTCATTGTGTTGAGCAAATTTAAAAATTACTGGTCTAATAAGTTAAATGCCACAGGCCCAAGGTTGGCTTTACATATTGGCTAATTAGGTGGTTTCCTAGTCAGGTAACTTCAGGGCTGCTGAGAATTATCTCCCCTTACCACCTAGAATGCCTCCCCAGTCTACTTAATCATAGACAGTTTCCAAAATCACAGGGCTTATGATCTTCAAAATCTTCGGGCTTATGATTTTCAAGTGTTAACTAAAACGTAGGTACTTCGAAAACACTGGGAAAATAAGCCATAGATTTTTGTTGTCAACACAATATCGAATACTTCTCCTTGATGAGAAAAGAGGTGAAGGGCTATGATGGAGGGCACAGGGCACTCCTGCAGGGAGTGAGAAAGAAGGAAGACCAGCCTTTCCTAGTTCACATGGCCTCATGTGAGGCTGGCTCTGCAGTACCTCTTCCCTCAACCAGTTTTCACAGAGGACCCTGGAGGGTTTAGCAGAAGAAATTTTGTTGTTGTGCCTTGCTTTGGTGCCGGCACATACATTCCTGAGTGCTTCTAAGATGCCACTGAGTAATTTAGTGTATCCCAAAGCACCAAAGTGCTTAACGTTGGCTCACTAGACAACAGAGCCTATTAGAATGGGGTGACACTTCTCTCTTGCCATCGATAGAGCAACCACTTTATTTGAAAGAGTCTACTCTATTTTCCGAGTGGACGCCAGTGTGATTAACTGCAGGCATTTTGTAGTGGGCTGCCTGAGGCTGGGTTTAGAATCACAAAGAAAATGGCAGAAAAGTAGCTGGCATGGTCTTTACATTTTTTAAAACATGAAGTGTCGTTTTGTGAGATATGGTTTTTATAGGCTTTCCTAGTTCCTAAGGCACCCACACTTCTTATACTGATGTTATGTGCCTAGTCCCTGAAGGTGAGAAAACCAGTAGTGCCCACTGATGATGAGAAAACTCCCCTAAAATTTTGAATGGTGGTATGTCCTGCCTCCTCCTAAGCTTATCACCCAAACCTGGAGATATTCAAAGTTACTGTATTTCCACTGGGTGGTGATGTTTGAGGGGACGGCAGAGGGGATGGCTGAGGTGGCTGCATCCCCAAGTTCTCTCCCATTCTAAGAAGCCATGAATCTTGCTAGTGTAAGTAAGCAGTGTACCTGCTTAATTTACAACTAGCTGGTATTGTGGGAAAAAAAAAAAAAAAATCACTACTTCAAAAGTGCCTGAGCTGCTCAGGGACTCTGCAGCTAGGCGCGGAGAACCTAGCCCATTTAGCACATTGCTAATTACCAATGGCCCAGAAAATGTCAACCTGCAGAAAGAGAGAATGAGGTGAATGAAGTGAAGAAAAAAATAACTGTGAAATCTGTTTTATTAGGCAGCAAGGATAATACCTGTAGGATATGGCGTTGACTGAACGAAGCTGGTCAGTGAGCAACCTTGCTAGCAATGGTAATCCAGAACTGGAACTTCACAGACAGCAGCTCATTTAATATTTCTTACACTTTCTCTTTTTCTACAAGTCAACTATTTATACAACTGTCCTTTATTTCACGGATATGACCATTAAACATGACAAAGTTATGCCACTCCAATATTATTTGATGGAGATGGCAGGACACAGTGTAATGTTTGGCTAATGCCACCAGTTATTTCTGTTGTGTTTGTTTTTTGAAAGCATTATGATACTGAAAAAGGAAACCAGAGTAACTTAGCAACGTGTCTCCTGGATTTTACTTTGAAGCCTATTGTTATAATTTCTGTTGAATAAAGTGTTTGGAGGAAATTCCTTGTACATCTGTATTTATGATGTATGTTTTTAGGGTGAAGTAAGGGAAATAATGTGGATCTTATTTAATAGCAAATATCTTCTGTATTGATACATTGAAAAAAATGTTGGCAGGTTTATTTCTAAGGAAAAGTTAAACAGAATATTCAGACTATTGCATTTGAAAATCTGGGTAGGGCCAGGTGCCGTGGCTCACACATGTAATCCCAGTGCCTTGGGAGGCTGAGGCAGGTGGATCACTTGAGGTCAGGAGTTCGAGACCAGCCTGGCCAACAGGGTGAAACCCCATCTCTACCAAAACTACAAAAAAAAAAAAAAAAAAAAAAAAAAAAATTAGGCGGGCGTGGCGGTGGGTGCCTGTAGTCCCAGCTACTCGGAAGACTGGGGCAGGAGAATTGCTTGAACCCAGGAGGCAGAGGTTGCAGTGAGCCGAAATCGTGCCACTACACTCCAGGCTGGGTGACAGAGTGAGATGCCGTTCTCACATACACACTAAATAAAATAAATAAATAAATAAATAAATAAATAAATAAATAAATACAATCTGGGTGGAAAACGATTGAAGCATGAGAGAAAATGATCAAATGCCAACCTTAGTACTGCTGAAATATTTTAAAATGTTTTTTAAAAGCTTGGTTTGTGTAAAAGTACCCAAATGCATATTAAAGTTAACATTAAAAGAAAAGCACAAGCATTCATAAGGCCTAAATCTGAAGCAAGAGAATGCCTGAAAATCTTATAAAATTATTTTTCAAAAAGAACTTCACTGATATATAATCAATATATAAAATATTGCATATATTTAATGTATACATTTTCATGAGTTTGAACATATATGGCGCCATCATTAAAATCAAGGTACTGAATATACTCATCATTTCAACTATTTCCTTGTGTTGTTTTGTGTTTTTTGTTGTTTATTGGTGCGAGCACTTTACATGAACTCTATCCTTTTAGCATATTTCAAGGTATATAATACTTTATTGTCAACTATGGGTACTGTGGTTTACAGCAGATCCCCAGAACGTGTTCTAGAACTCATTTTCTTAATAATGCGAATAATACCAGTATGGCTGAGTGTTTACCATGTGCCAGTAGTGCCCAACCACTTCATGTAGAACATCTCATTTAATCTTCCTGGCAACGGTTACAAAGTAGATACAAGCCCTGATTTAAAAACAAGGAAACTGAGTCCCTGAGAAGTTAAGTAATTTGCCAAGGGCATCTGGATATTAGGTGGTGATGCTGGTTTTAGAGAGGTGAGGAAGGTACAGAAGCAAAGTTTGAAGCTAGCAGAGGTTGGTACATAAAGTTTAAGGAACTTCTTCAATACATAAAACTGCAAGGTGAGCAGCAAATGCTGTAGAAAGTTATCCAGAAGGTCTAGCTAAGATCATTAATGAAGGTGGCTACATTAAATACAAGAGTTTCAATGTAAATGAAATATCCTTTCATTAGAACAAAATGACATTTAGGACTTCCATAGCTAGAGAGGAGAGGTTAGTGCCTTGCTTCAAAGCTTTAAAGGATAGGGCTGATTCTCTTGCTAGGGGATAAGACAATTGGTGACTTTAGTTGAGGCCAGTGCTCATTTACCATTCCTAAAATCCTAAGGCCCTTAAGAATTAGGTTAAATGAACTCTGTCTGTGCCCTGTAAATGGAAAAACAAAGCCCGGATGACAGCACTTCTGTTTATAGCATAGTTTACTGAATATTTTAAGTCTACTGTTGAGATCCACTGCTCAGAAATAAAAAAGATTTTTTTTTTTCAAAAATATTACTACTCATTGACAATTCACCTGGTCATCCAAGAGCTCTGTTGGAGATGAATGAGAGGATTAGTTTTGTTTTCATGCTTGCTAACACAACATTCATTCTGTAGCCTATAGATCAAGGAGTAATTTTGACTCTCAAGTCTAATTATTTAAGAAGTACATTTTATAAGGCTATAAGGCTATACCTACCATAAATTGTGATTCCTCTGATGGATCTTGGCAAAGTGGATTGAAAACTTTCTAAAAGGATTTTACCATTCTAGTTGCCATTAAGAACATTCATGATTCATCCTGAATGATGAATCATTTTGAGGAGGTCAAAACATCAACATTAACAAGGGTTTAGTAGAAGTTGATTTCAGTCCTCATGGATGACTGAGGGGTTCAAGAGATGTGGTTCAAAATAGCAAAAAACTAGAACTAGAATTAGAAGGTGTGACTGAAATGCTACAATGCCACAATAAAACTTCAGTGGATGAGGAGTTGCCTCTTACAGATACACAGAGTGGTTTCTTGAGATGGAATCCACTCCTGGTGAAGATGCTGTGAACATTGTTGAAATGACAACAAAGGATTTAGAATATTATATAAACTTAGTTGATAAAGCAGCAGCAGGGTTTGAGAGAATTGACTTCAATTTTAAAAAAGTTTACTGTGGGTAAAATGCTATCAAACAGCATCACATGCTACAGAGAAGTCTTTCATGAAAGGCAGAGTCAATTGATGCAGCAACCTTTATTGCCATCTTATTTTAAGAAACTGCCACAGGCATCTGAACTGAACCTGCAATATCTCCCAAGGTCTGCCTGCATCTATATTGTACATCTGCATACCTGCGTTCATTGCAGCATTATTCACAATTGTCAGGATATGGAAACAACCTTCTAAGTGTTCACTGATGAACATATGAATAAATAAAATGTGATATATATGAGATAAAGATATATACATATATGTGTATTAGATTTTCTTACATTACATTGTCAGATAAAGATATATACATATATATTACATTTTCTTTATTGATATAAACATATGTATCACTATATCCATATAGATACATAGATATCACATATTCTTTATCCATCATCCATCCACACACGCTTAGGTGGTTTCCATGTCTTGGTTATTGTGAATAATGCTGCGGTGAACATGGGAGTTCACACACCTCTTTGAGATACTGATTTTATTTCCTTTGGATATATATCTAGAAGTGGGATTGCTGGATCATATGGTAGTTGTATTTTCAATTCTTTGAGGTTCTTTCATGCTATTTTCCATAATGACTGCACCATAACTCCTTATCTTACATATGGTTTGCAAATATTTTCTCCCATTCTATGGTTGCCTTTTCTTTCTGTTGATTATTTTCTTATTTGTGCAGAATATTTTTAGTTTGATGTAATCTTATTTGCTTTTTTTTTTTTTTCTTTTACTGCTGGTCTTTTTCCTTTATTACAAAAAAAAAAAAAAAAAAAAAAAGAAATCTTTGCCACAACCAACTCTGTGGAGCTCCTCTCCCCCTATGTTTCCTTCTAGGATTTTTTATAGTTTCAGGTCTTATATTTAAATCTCTAATCCATTTTGAGTTGATGCTTGAGTATGATATAAGATAAGGATCCAATTTCATTTGTTCTTATGTGGATATCCAGTTTTTTCAGCATCATTTATTAAAGAGACTATCATTTTCCCATTGTGGTTACTTCTTTTAAAACTCCAAAGAAATAGAAGCAGACGCTGACTCTTGCCTATCTAACTCTTTGATTGCTTTAGGGAAGGGTGATACTGTTTTGTTACATCACTCAAAAGAGTTGGCCAATGTATGGTAGTGGAGATCCAATGTCCCATAGACCAATTTAGGTGGAGGAAGGCCTTGGCCAGAAAATGGCTTATTTCGCTAGTTTTTATATGTTGAGGAAGTCTTTCTTAATATTTATTATGATTTTCAGATATTCCAACCTACTTAAAATAAGTGTTTGATTACTTACAGTCATAAGAAAAGTGATAATATGCCCATTTTGTTTTCATTTACCGGAAAAGGCATTGAAGAGTTGTAGTGTGGTATGTGTGGGGTCTGGAAGTCAGAATGCCTGCTTGTGGATTCTGATTCCAACTCTTAATCATTAGGCAAGTTACCTGACCAGTTTACTTGCTGTGTCTCAGTGTCCTTACTGTGTCTCAGTTTCCTTACTTAAAAAGTGATAACAATAGTTCTCTTCTTTAGGATTAGGAATACCTGGCGCAGGCTGGGTGCGGTGGCTCACACCTGCAATCCCAGCATTGTGGGAGGCTGAGGCAGGAGGATCACTTGAGCCCACGAGTTTGAGACCAGCCTGGGCAACAAAGTGAGACCCTATTTAAAAAAAAAAAAAAAAAAAAAAGGAATACCTGGCACATAATAAACATAGTAATCAACATTTACTATTATTATTATTATTGTTTGAGACAGGGTCTTACTCTCTTGCCCAGGCTGGAGTGCAGTGGTGTAGTCTGTAACCTCTGCCCCCAGAGCTTAAGCAATCCTCCCACCTCAGCCTCTCAAATAGCTGGGACTATACGCACATGCCCCCACAGTGGGCTAATTTTTTGTTACTTTTTGTAGAGATGAGGGCTTCCAATGTTGCCCAGGATGGTCTCAAACTCCTGGGCTCAAGCAATCTGCCCACCTCAGCCTCCCAAATTGCTAGGATTACAGGTGTGAGCCCCTGTACTGGCCAACATTTACTACTATTTTTATGAACAAAACCTTAGTCATCTTATTTAAACACATTTCTCCAGAAAGAACATGGTATTACTTCCTCAGAAATCATACTTCAGATATAACTGACTTTAATGTGTTATAGGTATTGTAAGGAGAATTATCTAGATCAATTTTTTTTATCAATTAGAAATAAAATTTAAGGTTCTTTAGAGTATTATCCTTTTAAAAGTTCTGTATTGAACAGAGGAACTGAGAAGTAAAGAAATCATCGATGTAGACCATTATGATCTAATCCATCTTCTTCATATGTTTAGATTTCTTATGAGTCTATGAAAGAGGATTATTCTTATAAAAAGAAATAGTTTCTAACAGCTCATATATAAAAATATATTAGCTCATGATTTAGCATAATTCCCATTTTAAAATTAAAATAAATGCACTTTTGAACTAAACAATGCTTTTTATACATGTATGTTTCACATTGCCATTTAAAAACACATCAATCATCTTTAAATTACAA